AGTAAGTAAGTAAGTAAGTAAGTAAGTAAGTAAGTAAGTAAGTAAGTAAGTAAGTAAGTAAGTAAGTAAGTAAGTAAGTAAGTAAGTAAGTAAGTAAGTAAGTAAGTAAGTAAGTAAGTAAGTAAGTAAGTAAGTAAGTAAGTAAGTAAGTAAGTAAGTAAGTAAGTAAGTAAGTAAGTAAGTAGAAGTAAGTAAGTAAGTAGTAAGTAGTAAGTAAGTAAGTAGTAAGTAAGTAAGTAAGTAAGTAAGTAAGTAAGTAAGTAAGTAAGTAAGTAGTAAGTAAGTAGTAAGTAAGTAAGTAAGTAAGTAAGTAAGTAAGTAAGTAAGTAAGTAAGTAAGTAAGTAAGTAAGTAAGTAAGTAAGTAAGTAAGTAAGTAAGTAAGTAAGTAAGTAAGTAAGTAAGTAAGTAAGTAAGTAAGTAAGTAAGTAAGTAAGTAAGTAAGTAAGTATTTTATTGAGATACAAAATCGATTTGATGTTATAAAACTTAAAACTATATATTTGTCTTTATAAAAATACATAAAACAAATATATAGTTTTATTGTTGAATGTCACGAGACGACGTGTGGTTGTAAAGCACTCGTCAGAATCTCGATGAACACTCTGAATGTTAAAAGAACGCGAGTGGTTGTAAGTCACTCGTTGGATTCTTTTTGAACACTAAATTTATTTATAAAACTAAAAACTTAAGAACTATTAAACAAAATCTTAAAACTATCTTAGAACTAAGATAAGACCTCATGCACTCTTTTTATGCATTCAATCTTATCAATTTCATATTCCCATCTAAGGGTGGGTTTTCAAGTGCGCTAGTGATATGAATATGCTCTATTTCTAATTATATCTCATAATGTCTATGCGTTACATAAAAAAAAGAATTAATGTGCATCTTAGTACTAGCATTCTTATCATTACTAAAGGTTGTCATAAATAACTAAGCCATAAATATTTATTTGTAATTCAAGTGAACTAATCGAATAGTTTTTATGACCAAACCTATGCACCGAAATAAGATTTTAAACCATGTTCAAATATGTTTGAACATTCTGACAGGGAAATACTAAATATATGTATAATTATTTTTTCTAAATATGTATATAGTAAGTTAGGAATACTTATGTATAATAAACCGGTATATAATCATTGGCATGACTTCTTCTTCCTATACTAGTAGCAATAGTAGCCAGGATCCCACGACCACAGCTTAGCTCTCTTCTCCCGGCTCTTCAATTCTAAATCTCCATTTTCTTCATCGGCTGGATTATTATTAGCATCTTTAGTGGCATATTTAACTTAAGTGTTGATATTATTGAGTTGTTTCTCTAAAGCACCTTTTTCATCAACAATAGCATCATGATAAGCGCTCGAGAAATTAAAATCGTAGTCATCTGATTCTTATTTCACAATAGCACTAATAACTTCTGGAACTTCATGTTTAGCAACTAAGTTGCTTTTGATGCGCTTAACAGGGACAGGGTCTAAATCTGATGAATCATATCTGTCTTCAATTACTTGCATATCAATATATTCTTTAGTGATGATTAGAGCATGTTCTTTCGAAGCATCCCTTACATCAACTGTAGTTTCCAAAACAGCACCAGTACTCCCTCTTTCATCTTCTTCATCATTTCCAATTGATTCTTCAACAGTATATTCAGCAGAAGCACCCAAGAATGTGTTGTTACCATCATAAAATCCTCCAAAATGAGGACTTGCCGGGGAAATTTTAGCAGGAACATTAGACAAACCACTAACTGAATCGTATTCTTCAGAGTGTTGAATTGTTGAAATAAATCTGTATTTGTAATAAGATTCATTATTCTCGCCTTCTGCTTCTTTGCTAATTTCAGCTCTGCTCTGCAACAGTAATTGGAGTAACTTCTCGTATTTGACATTTGATCTGTGCCACTGAATTAATATGTCCATTTCGAACATACCGCACTGAGAATAGCAATATTCAAATTGCTTCATATAGTTGCTCAACAGTAAAATTTTTTCGTCAATATCGCTTACAGAATTATATAAATTTATAACTCCGGTAATCCCTTCTCTTGATCTTTTCATTTTCTTTTCAATCTCCCAAAATTTGCTCTCATGTGAAGAGACACAAATTTTGGACATTCTTCTAATTCATGTTCACCACGATAGCAACACGAGCATAGGTTAAATGTTACTTTCTTAAACACTTCTGGAGCTCTTTTTAACTCACGTGGAGTTTTGGCCTTTCTTAGCTCTCTTGGAGCTTTTTCTGTTTCTCTTGAAACCTTCTCTTTATATTTTGGCGCCTGGTCTTTCTTTGGAGCATCCTCTAGCTCTCTTGAAGCTTCTCTCGGTTCTCTTGGAACCTTTTTTTTGGCATTGAAGCCAGTTTTAGCTCTCTTGGAACATTTTTCTCTTTTTGAGCATTTTCAGGCTCTCTTGGAGCTCATTGCAACTCTGGTCGAGTTTCTTCTAGCTCTCTTGGAGCTCTTTGCTCTTTTTGAGCATTTTCTTTAAGTGGTGCTTTAATTTGCTGCTCTGCAGTTTGCAGCATTATCAGCATCTCATCTCTCATCGTTTCTTCAATGGAGATTATCATGGATTCCATGTACTTCCGTAGCCTTATTTCTAGGTCTTCTTCTATTGCTGTCGACATATGGTATACTTCTTTTTTGTATACTTTTTATTTATTTTTTAATTTTATAATTAGCTGTTACTAATTCAATCTCTGTCGAAGCCGAGATTGACGCTTTTTTTCACGAACAGTGAACCTGGCCACGGCACTGATCGGGGTCGAAGGACCAAATGTAAAAAAAAATATATATATATATAAAACAAATATATACTTTTATTGTTGAATGTCACGAGACGACGTGTGGTTGTAAAGCACTCGTCAGAATCTCGATGAACACTCTGAATGTTAAAAGAACGCGAGTGGTTGTAAGTCACTCGTTGGATTCTTTTTGAACACTAAATTTATTTATAAAACTAAAAACTTAAGAACTATTAAACAAAACCTTAAAACTATCTTAGAACTAAGATAAGACCTCATGCACTCTTTTTGTGCATTCAATCTTATCAATTTCATATTCCCATCTAAGGGTAAGAATATGCTCTATTTCTAATTATATCTCATAATGTCTATGCGTTACATAAACAAGAGAATTAATGTGCACCTTAGTACTAGCATTCTTATCATTACTAAAGGTTGTGATAAATAAATAAGCCACAAATATTTATTTGTAATTCAAGTGAACTAATCGAATAGTTTTTATGACCAAACCTATGCACCGAAATAAGATTTTAAACCATGTTCAAATATGTTTGAACAGTCTTGTTCTAATACACTTTAAAAGATGAAATAAAATTAACATTGAAAAAGATAAGCAAACAATGCTTGCTCCCGGCATTTACTATAACAAACAGAGAAGACTGTTAAACAAAATAAATACATAAAACCAAATAACACTTAAAACTAAATAAACAAAAACTGTAAAATCATTGGCAAACAGTTAAAACCGATATCACAGATAATCCTCATTATCGAAGAAAAACATATGTATTTACCAAAAGTAATAGAATCCAGAATTCAAAAATTACGTTACAGAAAACAGTTACATTAAAAAACAGTAAGTGTACAAATAATCCGAATGTACCATCTAAGTACAAGAATGACAAATTTCACATATAAATAACAACATGGTGGTGAAATTATGCCCTATGGACTCCAGGGATAGTCCTACAATAAAAATCCGGCATCTTGAACGGATCTGTGTCAACCTCCGAAGCCCCCCTAACAATACCATTCGGCGATAGGTATGAAAATCTCGACCAGTCCGTGTGCTTCCCCTCCTCATAAATATCGTTCATAAGACAGTTGTCATGGTGAGCAAGATTCCCAACAAATTTCATCATGAGGTCCAAGGCATACGCACATAACGGTCTGACACCAGACTGCTTATATATATATATATATGAGTTGGAGAAGCGTTTTGTACAGCTCTGAAAATTTTTTCCAACACATTTTCGAAGAACTTTTCTTTCAAAAATTTTCAATTCTTTTGCAACTATTGGTGAAATAGAAAACCTGATGGGAAATGCATAGATGAGAGCTGATCTGATAGCAACTTTGTACAGAAGAAGTTTTGTGCTTTGGTGAAGGTGTGAACTTTTAAATAAACTGGAAAACATGCCAGTTATACGTTTAGCTTTGGTAAGTAAAATTCTCCCGTTATTATTAAATTTGATTAACTTATCAAAGTTTACACCAAGATACTTAATACTGGACTTAAATGAAATTTCAACGCCATTCAAGGAGAGTCTCAGAAGCTTACTTTCCGGAACCACGAATCTAGCGCATTTACCAGACGCATTTCTTATACAAATTGTCTGAGATTTTGCAGCGTTTATCTTAATGCCCCACTTTTATAAAAATCGTCGATTGTATTCAGGTGAAGTGTAGAATTACGCAAGGCCTGTGCTGGAGATTCATGGTTAGCGTATGTCAGACAGTCATCCGCGTATAAAATGGCTTTAGTGGCTCCTACACGATGAGAAAAGTCATATAAAAAGAGGTTGAATAGGTAAGGTGCTAGTACACTCCCTTGGGGCACTCCACTATTTACCGAATCAAAACCAGACATAGATTCGTTTATTTGCACATTAAACGTGCGGTCTGTAAAATAACTCTCAAACATCTTTACCAGGAAAGGATCAAGCTCAATTAGCTTAAACAGAATTCCCTTATGCCAAGCCGAATCAAAGGCCTTTTCAATGTCCAGAGAAATGGCAACGGTACAAATCCTTTCCCTCAGGTTGTGAATGACGTCATTGTGTAATTTTAATAATGCATGTTGAGTAGAATGGAATTTTTAAACCCAAATTGGAACGGAGACACTGGGTTAATTATGAAACCACTTTGAAGTTTATTTTTGATAACGTGCTCAAACACCTTTCGATTATTTGACAGTAGTATTTTTTATTGGAATAATCTTAGCAGATTTCCAAGCTACAGGAAAGTAAAAGTTGTTAATGCAGTTGTTAAATAATATGGTCAGGAATTTCAACGATGTTTCAGGAAGCTTTCTCAGTATAAAGTTTGAGACCCCGTCAATAGCATACGATTTTATATTGTCTAACGGCACCTCAGGTATGCTCTCGCTGTAGACTCTCCTGTAATAACTACTGCAATGCTGTCATCATCAGAGATAGAAATGTCGTTGACAATAATTTCCTTACAAAAGGACGACTTCTTATTGCCTATCGCCTGGTAAATTTGCTTAAAGGCTGTCGGGCCTGGTCTTATTTTTTGAAGTTTGCTGTTGAATATCTTGCCTTGTTCTATGTTTACAAGCTCTTTTATAATAGTTTTTAAAAGCTGTATTTGCTAGTACGATGAAAAATTGAATTACTAGTACGAATGAAAAATTGAAGAACTTCTTAATATTTTCTGAAATAGGAACTTTGTTTTTTCTAATTTCAATCCTTTCAGAGTTTAAATTATGTACTGAAGTAAGAATAGAGTTGAACGACGATATCAAAGAATCAATTTCATTATTGTGAAGATTTTTATATTCTGAAGGCATGATGTCTATACAGGCAGATTCTAGATGGTGGCGAAAACTATTCCAGTTTATATTTTTATAGGATGTAAAAAAACGTGGATGTTACCATTTGCATTAGCCAATAGATCTCCCCATAAGGGATTTTTAGCATTCAAGTCTCCTCCAAATACGAACCCGTCGAATTCGCTAGCCACTTGCAGGATTTTTGATAGACCATTACATAAGGCGGTTACAGGAAAGTTTCCGGGAATATAAACTGATCCAATTAAATATTTTTTCAGTATATTATTCGAATTGAATTTTAATTTGAATAAAATTACCTGTGTCGTTAATGTTTATACAACTATAAGATATATTGTCTTTTAAAACAATTGCTACTCCAATGGGGGAGTGGTCATATATAAAATTATATCCTTTCAGATGTATTTTTTTGTGACGATTTAAACGGCATTCTTGTATGAAGCCAATGTCAATTTTGTTGTAATATAGAGTGTTGTATAGATCAATTTGACGACTTGTATCCACAAGTGATCTTACATTAAAAGTCAAAAAATTAAGAAATCTATGGCCCATAAATACTTTTAACTTTAGAATGTAGACATAAGAAAACTTTTTTTCCCTCATGCTTTGACATATTTTTGTGCTCGGTTAGAAATGTATTTATCTCTTGCTCCAGCGTTAATTCCTCTGGTTTCAAAAATTATTTGCAAGTTTCAAGAATTCGTCCACAATAGGTGATTTTTGTTTATATGTAGGTGCAGCTTCAAGTGGTTGCGTCCTTAACAGACTTGCAAATGACCTACCAGGTTAAACTAAACTTGTATTGATTACACTATTAACTTTAGTTTTTGCAGTATTCCGGACTTCCTATGCCTTTAGAATACGTTCTTTCTTGCCAGACAGATATATTTTATATGCTGTGCAACCCCACCAGTTTGCCGGGTGACCAGAATTGCCACAATTCACGCAACAAGTATCCGTGTTTGTAGAATCATTGCGGGGACAAGAGCCTGGTAAGTGAGAATCACTTAACGCATTTAAAATCTGAATTACAGTTCCAAGATATATGTCCCCATTGGATATCCTTTTTTTTGGCTTTTTCCACACAATGGATTGATTTAGCAAGTACTTAATGTTGGATATGTCTCCCAATTTTTGCCTGGAATCAAAGTTATTAGAAATAAACCAGTTTCCATTTTGTTTATCCTTGAAAAGGATGTTGAAAATTTTGATACCTTAGATACAGTACCGGGGACCTGAATGTCCAAATCTTTCCTAATACTCCTTTGAAGTAAATGAGTATGAACTAATTTTCTTCTCTCTTAAAAGAGACACCATTTCCGCATAAACTGAAGCATCAGACAAGTATAACTTACTTTTGTGTTTATTTACGTTCTTAATTTTAAAAATTATTTTAGGTGACTTAGCCTCCAGTTGATCACAAAGGTGCTGTACGTTCACATTGTAAGGAAATATTGGCGGCCAGAAGGATTTACCAGGAGGTTCCACATTGGAAGTTTTATCTTTCGCCGCATTCCTTATGATCTTATTATAACCAACCGAATCATCGTCATTGTGGTGTATCTAAAGATTAGCAAGGTATGAAAATCTATTTTGTTGATTCGGATCAAAGCTAACAGAAACATTTCCGTTCAAACGTGAGGCGCAATCAGTTCCCGGTGAAGCTCCACCACCGTCCATCCATGGTCTTTTACCACTATTTTCGTCATTGTCGCCGGGGGGATGTGTACAACAATGGCCGGCGTCGTCAACATCAGTGTCCATTCTAGAGTTAACACTCTATCCTTCACCCAAACACAATAGCCAGTATATCCAACTATCAGTACACTGATCCACAGTCGAATCTCCAAAAAATAAGCAAGAGCTCCCAAAAAATAAAATAAATGCAAATAGAGAAAAAATATTCCATCAACCATTCAATCTGCCGTCGTATCTTTTCTTTCGGGTTAAAAAATCTCAAAATAAGAAAAATTAATACTCACTAAAACACAGGCATGGAAAATTTTAATTTTATAATGGTAGTATTAAAATTAAAAGTAGTAGATTTATATTCAAATTTGTTAATATTTTTTAGATTTCTTTACTTATACCTATTTAAGAATGCATTTTAGATAAAAATTTTATTCTTTTTAAGTACACATATTTAAAAGAAAACTTTCTGAAATATTTGTAAGTAATTATGGGGAATATTGATACTGATTAGTAAATTTCAGGGAAATAATATTTAGGACACTAGAAATAAACAAATTAGAGTGCTATATTCGGCTGAGCCGAATCTTAAATACCCTCCACCAGCAACTTTTATATTAATACTTTTTAAATTGATCAAATATTTGTAGCAATAAGCTTTCCCATATCTTAAATAGAAAAAACCCAAGAATTAAACAGCTTAAATCTGTTGCAATTGCAAGATTATGAACCGATCGTATAAAAATCTTTAAGCAACATTTCTGTATATAAAAGTTATATTTTAGTATATTTTTGTATCTATATAGCGTAATTTAGTAATAAGCAGGGCTAGGACTTGTATGCAAATACATGTTTGCAGACAGTAACTCAAAATAACTTTTATGTAGTTTTCTTTTCAAATCAAAGAATTTCCAACAAAATGGCATCGATTTGTTGTTGCATATTTTTGGATATTTTGTTATAAATTCATAAATTGCATATTTTGCTTTAAAATGCATATTACTAAAATTTTTATAGAATATTTACATATTTTTTAATTTTTCGAACACAAATTCTGTATTTTTGTATTACATATTTTTAATACCCCATTTACATATACACGAAATCTAGTAGATTTTATTTAAAATCTTTTTAAGAATCTAGACACTTTGGCAGGGGCCGAAAATAATAATTATTTATCAATTTTCAAATTTTTCAAACAAGTAAGAAAGTAAGAAAGTATAGTCGGGCGTGGCCGACCTTATGATACCCTACACCAGTTATGAATATTAAATATGATTTATTTTTCATAATAAAGCATTTATCTTCAATATTCCCTTATTCCGATACATTTAAGCAATTTATGGATGAAAAACAAATTTTCTGAAATAGGCTTTATATGGGGACTAGGGGCAAATATGGACCAAGCCCGATAAAATTCTGTGAATATATTTATATTTACATAATATTTTATTGTGCTGAATTTCATCGCGATATTTGTGTTTATAAGTTAATTTTGGACATTTAAGTAATTTTCTGAAGGGGACTTTGTATGGGAGCTAGGATCAAATGAGTCCCGATCTCTATGAAATTTGGCAATGTCATCAAGGTTCATCAATATACAGGTATTTATACCCTACACCACTATAGTGGGGAGGGTATTATACGTTTGTGCTGATGTTTGTAACACACAAAAATATTGGTCCTACACCTTCAGGTATACCGATCGACTCAGAATCACATTTTGAGTCGATTAAGAAATGTCCGTCCGTCTGTCCGGCTGGCTGTCCATGTAAACCTTGTGCGCTAGGTACAGGCAATTTTCAAGATAATTTGATGAAATTTGGACAAATCATTTTTTTTTGGCACAAGGACGAAGCCTATTGAAAATGGTTGAAATCGGTCCATTATTTCACCTTGCCCCCATACAACCGTACCTATAGATTTGGGCTTTTTATGCCATAATTACGTCAAATATACTATTATCTCCCTAAAAATTGGCACAAATAAGTTTTATATAAGTATAAATGACACTGCAGATTTTCGTAATGATCGCCCCTTATTTGACCCTAGCCCCCATACAAACCCCACTTAAAAAAATGTCTTAAACGTCTAAAATTGACTTGTAACCATTTGTATCGCAATGAAACTCAACATAATTAACTATTATTTAAAAATATATCCTTTTCCCAAATTTAATGAGGATCGGCCCGCGTTTGACCTATACTCCTATATAAAGCCTCATTTAGAAAATTTGGTTTTTATCAATAAATTGCTTAAATACTTTGGAATTAAGGTAAAATTCAACATAAAAGATTCTTTGTGAAAAATAAACATTTTTAAAATATACTCATGGTGTAGGGTGTTATATGTTCGGCCATGCCCGACTATACTTTCCTACTTGTTTTAATATAATTATGAGCTCGGAAGCCCTTTTCGGGGGGTTCTGTTGTATGGGGGCTAGGTGAAATAATGGACCGATTTTAACCATTTTCAATAGTCTTCGTCCTTGGTGTGTGCCGAATTTCATCCAATTATCTTGAAAATTGCGACCTGTACCTTGCGCACAAGGTTTACATGGACAGCCAGCCAGCCATACAGACGGACATAGCTTAATCACTCAGAAAACGATTCTAAGCCGATTGGTATACTTTAAGGTTGGTATAGGACGAATATTTTTGTATGTTACAAACATCAGCACAAACTCAACATACCCTTCCCACTAAAGTGGTGTAGGTTATAAAAAGCAGCCACAAGAAACGTTATTTTTTGACTTTTATTTTTTTGAGCAAAAATAAAAGTTATTTTTTTATTTTTTCGAGCAGAAATAAAAGTTATTTTTTGAGCAGAAAAAAAGTTATATAAAAAGTTATTTTTTGAGCAAGAATAAAAGTTATTTTTTTTTCAGCAGAAAAAAGTTTTCTCTATAGAATCGTTCGTATTTTCTGCTCAAAAAATAAAAGACAAAAAATAACTTTTATTAATGATCGAAAAAATAAAAGTCAAATAATAACTTTTATTTCTGCACGAAAAAAATAAGTAAAAAATAACTTTTGTTTCTGTTAAAAAAAATAAAAGTCAAAAAGTAACACTTATTTTGTGACTTTTATAATAAAAGTCATAACAGTTACGGTCCCTGATTTTTCGCATTTAGGAAGATTTAATTTTTTCGAATATTTCTTGAAATTGTGTTTGATATAAAAATAAGAAGGAAAAATAGGATATTTATTAACATTTTATTTATAATAAAAAAATTTGATATTTAAATATAACAAATTAGAGTGCTATATTCGGCTGAGCCGAATCTTAAATACCCTCCACCAGCAACTTTTATATTAATACTTTTTAAATTGATCAAATATTTGTAGCAATAAGCTTTCTCATGTCTTAAATAGAAAAAAACCCAAGAATTAAACAGCTTAAATCTGTTACAATTGCAAGATTATGAACCGATCGTAAAAAAATCTTTAAGTAACATTTCTGTATATAAAAGCAATACTTGTACCAAATTTTATATGGATATCTTAATTTTGTAATGAGTTATGCTCGTTTAGGTGATTTTCGAGAGGGGACCTTGTATGGGAGCTATGACAATTATGGACCGATCGGAAAAAAATTTGATAGTAATATTTCTGTATATAAGAGCAATACTTGTACAAATTTTATATGGATATCTTAATTGAGTAATGAGTTATGCGCGTTTAAGTGATTTTCGGGAGGGGACCTTGTATGGGAGCTATGACCAATTAAGGACCGATCGGAAAAAATTTCACAGTAACATTAATTTAGTAATGAGTTATGTGCGTTTAAGTGATTTTCGGGAGGGGACCTTGTATGGGAGCTATGTCCAATTATGGACCGATCCAGAAAACGAATTATTGGTGTAAAAATATTATCCTGTAGATGATATTTTCTAAATTTATTATCCTGCTGGCATTACCAAGCAAACCTTTGAATCGTTATAGCACAGGACAACCAGAATTCGATAAGACTATCAGTGAAATTTTTTTTGTTAAATAATAGTAGGATTATATCATCCGATTTGACATATTGGGGTGACCAGATCATCATACATTTTTCTTTCCGAATTGATTCGCAATAGTGTATGAGAAAACTGCAATTCTCATCTTCTTTTATCAATCACAACTGAGCTGGAGCATCTTTATAAATCCATATTTCAATACCATTTAATCTTAAAGATAATTTTCTAAATACTTGTTTTTTTTATTATTATAATCTATGCATTTTAATTTTTCATTTTTCATTTTGAATTTTTTTTTTTTTGTGTAAATTTCGATATTTAACAATATTATGGTCACGTATTAATCTTCGATCCTAAATACACTCTACATACATACTTACTAAACATATTCACATCAACATAAATATACATACGTAAAATATCACACAAATTACACAACATCCCAACAAACATTTAATCTCAGTTTCCATTCGAGATATTTTTTTGTTTTTGGTTGACAATTATTAATTTACTCATCAATAAATCGTAAGTCATTTGGTGCCAACTGACATCGATGGATCAAAAACCTATGTTTTTATCAACCAAATTTATTTATATCAGTTCGAAACATGAATATCTTGAGTTTATTATTTTCACAAAAATAAGATATACATATGTAAGAATCTAAATTATGTGAATAAGTAGTTAGATATTCATGTTTCCATGATAGTAACAATATATCGTACATCATATATATATATATATATATATATATATATATATATATATATATATATATATCTTTATAAATCCATATTTCAATACCATTTAATCTTAAAGATAATTTTCTAAATACTTGTTTTTTTTATTATTATAATCTATGCATTTTAATTTTTCATTTTTCATTTTGAATTTTTTTTTTTTGTGTAAATTTCGATATTTAACAATATTATGGTCACGTATTAATCTTCGATCCTAAATACACTCTACATACATACTTACTAAACATATTCACATCAACATAAATATACATACGTAAAATATCACACAAATTACACAACATCCCAACAAACATTTAATCTCAGTTTCCATTCGAGATATTTTTTTGTTTTTGGTTGACAATTATTAATTTACTCATCAATAAATCGTAAGTCATTTGGTGCCAACTGACATCGATGGATCAAAAGCCTATGTTTTTATCAACCAAATTTATTTATATCAGTTCGAAACATGAATATCTTGAGTTTATTATTTTCACAAAAATAAGATATACATATGTAAGAATCTAAAT